GATGTGCTTCAGGCCTTGGGGTGAATATTGCCTCGGTAGTAACCTAGAGATACCTAGAGAACAACTTAATTCTGCATCCCTGCATCAGTCACCCGAGTGGCGTCTTCAGCCTCTTGAAGTACTCCAGCATCACTTGCGGCACGGAGGACCACGGCCTTTTGCATCGTAAGACCCTGCTTCGGAATGTAAATACGCAAGCTCACCTTCTGCAGGATCACACCTTCATGCTCATCTTCGGCGTGCTCCTCTTGCTGTGTGTCCTGGGCTTCCTGGCAGGATGCACCTATGCCGTGATCGTGGTGCCGAGATGGAGCAGGGATGGGCTGCACACAAATGTGAAAGCCTTCAGATTCCTTCTGTTCCGCTTTCGGCTGGACTCCTGGTGGTTTGGAGTGCTCTTGCTGTTACGGGGTCCGCTGATGTCGCTCCCGATCGCGCTGGCGACGGACTATCCGCCTGTCCAGGTCATGTCTGTTATGCTCGTGTTTGTGGTCATTCTGATCATCCAGTCGAAGGCCTGGCCATGGAAGGTGCCACTTCTGAACGTGCTGGACTGCTTCATCGGCTTCTGCATTACAATGCTTGTGGCTTCGAACTCATTGTACCTGGGCGCGCTCGAGGGTAGCATGAAAAACTTCGCCGATGGAGTGGGTTCGGTAATCATGGGCATGATGGGAGCAGCCGTGTTCCTGCTCTTCGTGATGACCGTCTGCGCGTTGACCTTCCGGGCGGCACTTGGCGGGCAGCAGGAGCTCATCGCCTTCAACCTCCAGAGGACATTGGTTTTTGGTGCTGTTGGCTTTCCGGTTTGATTTAGGTCTTGAGAGGCAAGGCCCCTGCTAAAGCTGCTAGAGCATGCATGCCATGTAGTCCAAAGCTGCTCGTCCAGGCGTGCTTCGGTTGAGACGTTGTCACCCAGTCTTGATCGGACATGAGATCTTTTCTTGCAGTGAGTTTGCATCTTCAGGACGCCGGCACCCACCCTCGTTGCGGAATCCTTGCAGTCCATGTCAGCCCAGCTCGTAGAGATGGATCGGGCAGGACTGGTGAAGGCCTTGTCGGCGATGGGAGTTTACGACAACAAGTTGCTGCTGGCATCGGTGTCTTTGCTGGGCACAGAGGTCGTCCCGTCCGATGCCGATCAGATGGCAAGGAGGTGGAGCGAAAGGGCTTGTTAGTAGACGCTTCTGAGGGCTTTGTGAACGTGAGGCATGCATGAAGGAAGGGAGGATAGAGTTGGATGCATGTTCGTGACAGATTGACTGGTGCAGGTACTGCTTCCGGATCGGCTCCAGTTCCTTTGCGCCACCGGCGCCACCCCAGGGCCCCGGCCCTGCGAAGAACGTGCCGACAAAAGCAACAGAGACGGCCAAGGAGACAGAAGAGGGCGACCTGTCTCCAAACAACGTCCGGGCAGAGCCAGAGCTGGCCAACGAAAAGGTTGGTCTTTCATTGCACCAGGAGACGCAGCAGGCGTTTCTCTGATCTTCGTGCAGTTTTGTTCCAGTTCCATCCTCCGGGCTGGTAAAGCTGAAGCCTGCTTTGCCAAGCTTGTGACTAGTCCATTCGCTTAATTTGTTTAAGGCCGGGGAAGGAGCTTGAACATGTTTAGATCTCTCATTGTGCCAGGAGACGCAGCAGGCGTTTATCTGATCTTCGCACACTTGCTCCATCCTCCGGGCTGGTAAAGCTGAAGCGACTAGTCGATTCGCTTAATTTTTTGCTGTTAATGTTGAGCCGCGGAAAGCCGCGCAAAGAGCTTGAACATGCTTAGGTCCTTCATTGTGCCAGGCGACGCAGCAGGCGTTCATCTGATCTCCATCCTCCGTGCTGGTAAAGCCGAAGCCTGCTGTGCCAAGCTTGGGACTAATCGATTCGCCTAATTGTTCGCTCTTCATGTTGAGCCGCAGAAGGCCGCGCAAGAGCTCGAGCATGCTGGATTCGTGGAAACTGTTTCAGCATGACCGAGTATTTTCCTGAAAGGAAACGAGACGGACTGAGCAGGTATATTTCGATGCAGTACTGTGCATTATCGTTCCAGCTTATCAACGAAGGTACTCTGCATCCCCTGCCTTGCAGCTCTGACAAGTTGTTGCAGTGCTTGACTCATTTGGCTGTGGCGTGCAGCACCTGGCTTAGAGATTCCCAGGCACGCGGCACGATTTGGCCATCCGGAACCAGCAAGGATCCGAACGGACCCAAGCCCAAGCTAGCTCTTCAGTGCACGCAGACGACGTCATTCATCCAAAACACCCTAAACCCTAAACCCTAAAAGAGAGTGGGAGCGCCGGAGCCGCGATGCGGCGAGCATGGTAGCACCGGCCCAAGATTCTTCGACCCCGAGCTGCCTTACAGATCCCAGAATTCTGATCCCAACGAGGACACACAAAAGTCTGAGGTTATATTTGTTGAGACCTTCGATAGATACGCAGCAGTCTGGCATTCTCGCACGGTTTTGACATGCTGGGTGGTGCATGGTAGCAACGCAAGGACGCAGAGTGGTACGATGACATGATGGAAAAGCAAGCGCCTCACCACATCGATTTGCTTGCCTTTTCCTTTGTCTGGTGTTTCGGCCCAGCCATGCATGTTGGATCGTAAGGCATCATCCTGGACACATGGAGAAGTTCATGAAAGCCGGTACGTGATAGAACAAGGGATCAAAGCACGCCATCTATTCGGTTTGAGACGCCGCAGCTTCCCTTCTATGCAGACACAAAAAGGGGAGGGGCAATTGTTGGTGGTTGGTAACGGCACCACTACGGCTGCTCTGTCCGAGATCAGAAATCCGATGTCCCATGCCCATGTCTTGCAAAAACGAAGACAAATTATATAATGTGATCTGTGCTCAAGCTGGTTTCGAACTGAGAATGGAATTCAGGGTAGAAAGTGCGATTCTTGAGGAGAGCCAGCTCACTGACAAACACCGACCGCGAGCATCTTATGAAGATTCGCGTTGCGGGGAACAACACCTACCGGAAGTTCTCCAAGGATGCAGCAAACCTTGAAGAAGGTTTGTGTTGAACGAGGGCATTCTGCGAAACCTTGCGACTACATAAATGATATGTGCTACAAGCAGAAGGTGGCCAGGACTTTCTGCACTTGTGCCAGAAGATCTGATTATTGAACAATGGGATACAATGGGTGTATCGAGTATCGATGTACCCATCAATCGAAGGTTCCTTTCTCTAGCCGCCACCACTGCCGTCGTCACCAGCAACCTTATCCTCCCGCACCATCACCGTCACTGTCTGTGTGTCTTGTTTACTGTGCTTGTCATGCGTCTGAATCAATCTGATCAATCAAAACTCTGACGCACTCACGCCATCAAAGGGGAGAGCCACATTTATGTGGATGTTTACCTGCCCTGTGTGTGCACAAACTTGGCCTTGACTGCCGCTTGGCTGCTCAAAAACCACATCGCAGGGTAGTTGACGTTGGTCGGCAGGGTGCTGGTTTCAGGTTCAACGAATTCGGAGAGTAGCCTTCAACGCTTTCGAGCTTGACTCAGAAATGTTTAGATGCACAGCAGCAGACGTATCATGAGCCCGCTGCCTCGAGACATACCGGAACTGCAAAATTGACAAGAGCCCCAGCCCCAGACGCACCCCATGCCTGAAGCCATCAATTTCCGCCAGAAACGGACTCGGCCCTTTGAATCAAACCGCTACCCTAACCACTTTGCCATGGCTCTGATTGGTGAGGTGGGGCTTGAGGGCTTTAGGCATGGGGGGTAGGGGGTAGGGGGTTGAGGGGTCATGCTCTTGCGACTTATGGTCGAGGGGGCAAGGGAGGGTAGTGCTTTGGGTCATTGAATGGTTTAAGGTTGGTCCTGGTTCGAGAAGACTTTCCATAAAAAGGTGTCCATTAAGAGGTGATGTGGTTGCGAGTTTGGAGAGGTGAACTCGAAGTTGGTTCTCAGCAGCTATCACTTCCAGTGGTCTTTGCCCAAACGAAACATATCGTAGGCCGCATGTTTGAACATTGGAGCTGTCGCTTTGATTGTCTGTCTTTGCCGAGCATCGATTTAGCGAGGGCATCCTGTCCAGCTGAAACACCTCCCCGACAAAAAGAGGCAATGCAGCCTCCACAACAGGTAAGCTACCCAGGCTAGGCGGCTAGGCGGTGTAGTCCGTATCTTACTGGGACGTGGGTGAATGTACCTGACCTCGAGCCCAAAGTCAATAACACCCACTAGACCTCCGACCTTGATCAAGCTCGTCCACCGTTCTCGGTTCGGCCAAAGTGCCTTGGGTCAGATATCCGGATCGTTACACGGCGTGTTTTGAACCCCTTAATCCTCATGGAGTCTCAGCCGTACTCTTCATTTCCCTGCTCCCATCCGTGACGTGCCGGACAGAAGGCCTTTTCTTTGGGGGCCCCGCCGCTTGCGCTTCCTATCGCAAGGCGCATCTGTATGGGATGCAACTCTTAAGCCTTACTCCTGCTACTTCTACTGCTCCTCCTGCTACTGCTACTGCTGCCGCTGCGACTACTACTACTACTACTCCTCCTCCTCCTCCTGCTGCTGCTGCTGCTGCTGCTGCTCCTGCTGCTGCTACTTTAAGTACTACATGCGACGACGACTACGACTACTACTACTCCTACCACTGTACTCATACTCCTACTCCTATACCTTCTCCTACTCCTCTCACTCCTCCTCCTCCTCCTCCTCCTCCCGCTGCTGCTACTGCTACTGCTACTTCTACTTCTACTTCTCTTCCACCACCACCACCACCACCACCACTACTACTACTACTACTACTACTACTGCTACTACTACTACTACTACTACTACTACGACTACGACTACTACGACTACTACGACTATACTACGACTACTACGACTACGACGACGACGACGACTACTACTACTACTGCTACTACTGCTACTACTGCTCCTACTGCAGCTGCCGCCGCTGCTGCTGCTGCTGGTGCTGCTACTACTACTGCAACCTCGACAACGACGACGACTACCACTACTGCTGCTGCCGCTGCTACTACTGCTCCTGCTTCTGCTCCTAGTCCTACTCCTACTGCTACTCCCGGTCCTACTCCTAATCCTCCTCCTCCTCCTCCCGTTCCTCCTCCTCCTCATCCCACTCCAACACTTGCAGCTGCGGCTGCGACGGACGACGACGACGACCAGTATGAGGATTGTTTTTGCTCGGAATGATACAGAGACAACTTAATCAATGCAGTGACAACAAGGGCCGCCGTCGAGCTTCGAAAGCTGTACCAGGTCCTGTACAACGGCGGTCCATGGCGACCCGAAACACACCCCTCACTTAACCGAAACCCTTGCCCCGAGAATGGTGTCTCGAACTTTGTCTAATGCCTCGCCGTAATCCTGTATCTGCCATGATTTCTTGCCTGAACCTCAACTCCGGAACGCTCGATGCTCGTCACCCAGACTCGCCACAAAGCCTGGGCGTGCAGTGCACGAAGTTCCAGAGAGAGGCAGGGCGGAGGCTGGCAGGCTCAAGGCATTCAGGGTGTCAGCTCGGAGGCTCAGTGCCTTTTGCCCCTCCAGGTGTGAAGTAGGGTGCACTCAGAGTTGTTGGTATGCAGTTTGGAGGCTAAGCAGTGATCCTTGAAAAAGGTTGTTCGATGAGCTTTTGACATATCTTCAAGTTGGGTGTTGAGATTGTGTCTGCAGCCGCTGTTCTCCGCGTGTGTATGTGTGTCAGAACTGTCAGAACGACTTAGATTGCGTCTATAGGCTTGAGAGCACCCGTCACCCTTGTCCGACCCATCGTTTTCAGCTCTGGGGTTGAGAAAAAGTAGTTTAGGACCCCGAGACGGTAGCGCCTCGTTTGATCTGCGTTTCGGGACTTCAAGTTGACACTCTAAACCCTGAACCGATAGTAAATAGCAGATCGAGAAATGCACGAATACCCCAGATGGTAGGCGCGTCATCCGCACTGGCTGCAGCAGCCACAGTCGTGGCCGGCTGTGTCGTGGCCAAGAGGCGCCTCGCCTCCAGATTTGAGAACCAGAAGATCTGAAATCTTGGAGACTGGGTGATAGCTGGATCGACCATACCCTAACCCCCCAGGTACCTACTATATAGGGTTTAGGGGGTGTAGTACCCTATATAGTAGGTACCTGGGGGGGTTAGGCCAGGAGAGTCCCTTCTGTAGGGATACCCATCACAGTAAGCCTCAGCTTCCGGTATCCCAGCTTGAAGGATCTGCAGTAATTCTGAAGCAGCCCTCGGCGACGTGATTTGACACTCGCTCTCTCTTACAGTGAACCCCAGAAAGCTGGAACATGCAGTAGGGATGATTAATGCTAGGATTCCTTATGCTGTACTCGGTACCTTAAGGGTATGATGAAGATGATGTTCCAACTTTGTGGTTTCTACTGTATACGAATGAGGTAAATGAGGGTGCTCCAGGCATAGAGCTCGACCCTGGACTCTCGACTGTGAGATCCTGAGGGTTGTTTGGCATGAAATCTGCCCTTGGTGTACTCCGTCCTCACTCCCATGACGGCAAGCTTCGATTCCCGCGTGTATTGGGGGACCCTCGGGGACCTAATTGAGAAGGTGAAGTGTCGGTTCTTAGGCTCGGGGTTTTCGAACGTCGGGGTTCCCACAACCGAAAACCCTGAAACCCAAAAGGCTCACCCAATGCAGGCTCGTCCTAGCAAGGTGGGAGGCAAAAAAAAGGCTCACCCCATGTCAAGGACCCCAGTCCAAAATCCTGCAAACTCGACCAACACAGCAATCGAAATTTGTATTTTTCTGCGGAGCTGGCACATCGCCCTATATCATGGGCCCAAGCGAGGTCTGGGCAAGCGATGCGTTCATGGGGTCGTTTGCGGATTGGCCTGGTGTCGTGTCGAGTGGCTTCTAAACCCGCACCCTGCCATCACCATCTAGCCTTACGCCCATTACTTGGCTCGAGAATTCATCTTGTTGGACTCAGCACACCGCCTCCCGAACCCTGCCTGTTGGGCTTCAGGAATTACGGGACCGCTGGGAGCGTTTCGTTTCTTTAAGTTGGTGGATGCCTGGGTAGGGCTAAAGGGAGATCAGAACAGATGCATAGAGTATATCAGGAAAGAAGTTGTTCTTCAACAACACAACCTTGTGTACATGGGACCTGCATACATGTTGGGGCTAGCATTGGCGAGGTCAACTGACAGCTACCTTCTGACCGCAACATGTTTTAGCTTTGTGTGTTTGAGGGTTTAGATGTTTAGACTCGTTTAGATGTATGGCTTTTAGGCGTTTGGGGTTTAGGGTTTACGGTTCCGGGAATGTCCGGACTTGCATCCCGAACTTCATCCCAGAACTCCGAATTTTGCCGAGGCGATCCGACCCGCGGCCTGCAGTTTCGGTGAGGGCGGGGAAGCTCAGTAACATGGTGGTTTTGAGGAGGCTGGTGTTCTGTTTGTTTCCAGAGACTGGGAGTGTTGCATGTAGGATGATTGGTTCGACAATGGCAGAGGACATTTTCGCTTGTTTGTTTCCAACATGTTTGCTACTTGCCGCTTTTACTTCTTGAGGACAGGCTTGAGCCAGTATTCCAAATGCAGGAAGTCCGGTGATGATAGGGTGGCCGAAACCCAGATCCTGAATTCCCAGATCGCCATGGACTGATTCTAGGGCGAGCAGTTTCAGCTCTGTGTCCCCGTTGCGTGCAAGTGGCTGTCGAAATTGACTTTGGTACTTGGTTTCGTGCGAGGACACCCTGGAGCCTTCTTGAGCAATCTCAACCCATTAGATAATTAGATCATCCCGAGGTCTAGGGTTTAGGGTTAAATCTCACACAGCTCTGAAGCCAGCCTGAGCTCGGCCCCCAGGCCACATCTCTGGAGGCTGAGTCA